TGCTGCCGCTCCGCTGGATGTCACCACTTCCACCATCACATTCACCTTGACCTGGTTTGGTGAAACCACTACAGGATCTAAGGGCTCAAGCACCAGAGTGTCTGCAGGAAGGTACACATATAACAATGTTAGAGTGGCAACAGACACAACCTAAAGTGGCCAAAGAGGGTAGAAATGATGCTGCACATACTATCCTCAGTGAGGCACTCCTTGCTTTTAACTGCCATGTAGGATGTTTGATGGAGAGCAGGCAGAGTCTGAGAGATGGCCATGGGGTTGTGGTATGCGTTGCTTCTAGCAGCTGTCCTCATGGCCTCCATTGAGGCGGCACACTCTGCAACCTCACTGCCCATTGCTAACAGGGCCTTGAACACATCAAATAAACACACTTCAGCTGCAAAGATATTGCTCTGTAGAAGTCTCTGAAGAGAGAGAGAGAGAGGATCCTTACTTGAACTGCAAGGCCTGTGCTGAATTCATTACCAATATGACCATCAGCCCTGCGGGAGGCTAGAAGCTTCTGCTTGATCTTGCTAAGAGCGGTGTCCAGCCCAGCAGCGTTTTGCATGTGACAACCAGAGTCCTTCACACACTGGAGTGCCATTCCAGCCATGGCATACGTATCTGAGGAGAGAAATTGGATAAAATATTAGCACAACTGCATCATTACAGCTGTATTCAAAGCTAAAATACAAAGTGAAAAGCTTTTAGCATTTTCACAGCATACTAATATAGATGTTTAGTGAGAGCTAAGCTAGCACTACAAGAGGTAACCGCTTCGCCAGAGCAAACTGTGGCATAGACAAAGAACTGAAAGCTAAACTGTATGTAGAGCTTCCTGTTAAATATCCATCAGGTGGCCTCAGCTTCAAACTCAGTGGATTTTGATCTGAAATATAACACGGCAGTGAATATATGTTTACTCCATCACGTGTCATCATGTCATCAGCGGTAAACTAATTTATCCTAAACCCATGATTGTTAGTAGGTAATAGCAGGGTGACTCCTGCATCATTATTTCACCTTTATGTTAACAGCTAAAGACACCATTAAGGCATGTTTCACCCACCCACACTCTCAGACTCTCCATGTTTGAACTGCTCATGTTCTGCTGCTTTGATGAGTTTGTTGGTCACATGGTTGTTGACCCTGATGCCGCTCACACAGAGAGCGAGCACACCCAGGGAGTACTGGTAATAGTTGGTCAAAGGGCGGTGGCTGACTGAATGCAGGAGAGAAGAAGCAAATTAAACCAAATTACACTGAACCACAACTTCACAGCAATGTTTGAGAAATTGTGAGGCATTTCAGTCTGGATGAAATTAGACAGAAAGTTACTCTATCCCTGCTAAATTCACAAACTATGAAATATGACCCCCGTCCTCTACATTAGGTAAACTCTGGTCAGATACTGTAGCACATCAAAAAGGAGAGGATTGCTGAAAATTTTTTATGACAACCATTGCCCTTCAGAAACTAAAAATCAAACAAACAAACAAAAACCTTACAGGCTATGTGCTCTTTCTCCAGCTCCATCTGGTTCTTCAGGTGTGTCAGCAGTGCTTCACTCCTCTCGTTTACAGTGAAGCTGACCGTGTTGAGATCATAGCAGGAGGACTTTAAAGCCAGGTTGTAGAGCGCCAGCACACCAGTCACAGGTTGACTGTTAGAGAGAGAGCTGAGAGGAGGAAAAAAGGCTCAGTAGAGAACATTGGGGAGAAAGAGGACTTCATAGAAAGTGTTTAAGTGTGCATAAATGTGTGTTGTGTGTGTACCTTTGAATGTCATTGTGCAATTCATTTTTTAGTCTGTTGAGGTGTTCACTCTCCTTGGCCAGGTTGTGGTTATTGGAAAGGCGTAATGCCAAGTGGACACTGGGGTTAGGAAGTCCCTCCTGGCTCTCCAGAGAGCGAAGGAGATTCTTGTTGAGTGAAAGCAGCAGCTCAGTGTTGGAGCCTTCTGTATCTGGAATTTAACTTTATAGGTTTAAAAAAAAAAAGTCACCTGACACAAACAAAACCTATAAGTATCTCTGCTCTGCTGCTGTTGACATTTACATGAACTTTTGAAAGTGTTGCAAAACCATAGCTGCTGCATCAGCAGGACTAATTTACAGAATCATCACTACTGCGTTCAACACCCTCAGCAGATCAAGGCCAAAGAGGAGCCACATTCACTGTTAATCCTGCACAACTAAGTAAACAAGCAACACAATTTATCACTCATATTCATAAAATACGCAATTGCAACATCTGTGAATGTCCAGACTCGTCAGTAAGTGTATTTGCAAACAGGGTTGCCTCAGAGTTAGTGCAGCTTTAGGAAGTTTAGTATAGTTAAGTTTTCTTTTCTTTTCTTTTCTTTTTTTAAAAAAAAATAATTTGTAAAGACGTCTTTTTAAAGTCGGCCTACTTACCACATGGTTTGGTAGAGGCAAAACCAATCAGTGCTGAGATTATCACCAAAGTTATCATTCTGGATAACCTGCTGGTTAAAACATACAAAAATAAGGCACACAGAAAATGACTCAACTCGGCTAAACAGTTAAAGTTAAAAACAAAAACAGTAAAAGTAAAACAGATATACAGTCACTGCGGGTGATAAAAATGCAAGGATCTTTGAGGAAGGCATGTACAAGTAATAGAAAATAAATATAAAAATAACTAATTTATAGTGACATGGATTGTGTGCCAGCATCACTGCAGACAATAAGTATCACATGATTATAAAATCAAAGCGTTGTTTTGACATATCCTGTAAACAGCAGCGTGTTACCTCCACGGATCGTCCAAAGTGAAGAATCACAGCCGAGTGACGAGACGAGCTGGGACAACAGCTTCTAGTATTTCACTGTCACATGACTGGTCATATGCAATCACAACGCTAGAGGGTCCCTTTAAACGTCAGCTGACAGGAAATTAAGAAAAAAACCCTCTAATATTAAAAAATAAAATGCCAACACCGTCTTATTGTCACTAGAGATCACTTTTACATTTCCACGACGGTTTTTTTTTTGTCGTTTTTTTTTCTTTTTCGGAAACTACACTTTGTAGTACATCCACTGGAACTGCATTTCCCACAATCCCACTAAACGTAACATGCGCACTTTCTAGAACCTTGACGACTGTTCTGGCGCGACTCAGTATTCGGAGTAAGGAGCTAACGTCAGTTTGACCCAGCCTATCATAGAAGAAGTCCACAGAGCACGGTGACAGTTAATTTGGGATCTTTTTCTATTCGACGGGGGTATCATGCGATTAGGTTAGTACGACTTTAGCTTGTAAAAACTATTTTTGTGTGCAGATGGGAACTCTCTAAAGGAGAATAAATACGCTTTGAACGGAGGCGAGCTAACTAAACACATTTGTCAACAACAAAAACGGCAATGGGGCAGGGCAGCTGCACAACTCGCTCTTTAACGCCAAATATTTTTGCTTAACTTGTGCAGAGTGGCTGTTCAGTGCAGGGATGAGGCTGACGTGTGTTTACCTCTCATCTATTAATAACACAAAGTTTTATCATTAACATGCTAACGGCAGTAGCGTTATAGCTAGCTAAATAGAAGGCAGCTAGCGCGATGTAAACAAATAACATGTGCGTCATGTAGTTTGTAAAAAAATTAAAAAAAAAAAAACCTTTATCGGCTTAACTGACTGGTATCAATACTGATCTTCCAGATCAGAGTCGTTAATAGCTGCTTACCCGCGTAGCTCTTCACAAACATTTCATCGATTGGGCCAGCATGCATCACCCTGCGCCCCCAAGCAGTGAGCTGAGCTGCCTGCCAGCCATGTATTCCTTTTCAGGCCCCACAAGCCTTCCCGACTTCGACCTCGGACCTTCAAGTATGATTGAGGATGTACAGACAGCGACAGTCTCTAACAGGTATGTAACTGATGCACAGTGCACTGTTCGTTTGTTTGTTTTCACCACATTTGTCAGACACGCTTTGGCTTAATTTGAAATATACTTTTATTTCTGAGCCTGACACAGGCATTTTCTGTGCCTCTATTCCATAGCAACTGGGAGACTAGATGCCTCAGGAAGCACAGGAGGAGAGCAGATGATGAGTAAGTGAAAGATGAATTATTTAAAAAAAAGAAAGAATAAAAGCATTTGGTAATGCTTGTCTTAGCCCTTCATAAGTGTTAAACTATATGATTGTTTTATCAGGGGTTGCAGTGCCAAAAAGAGGAGGTTAATGTTTGAGGCAGAAGTTGCTCCTTCAAATTTGAGCACTAGCACAGAGTGTGACTGGTCTGGTGCAAACAGCTGCTCTTCTCAGTCTGCACAGCAAGCCTGTCCTGCGCCTCCACAGTCCTGCACAACATCTAATAACACCACTTTGCCGCAGACCTCTTCTTCCCTGTTCCGACTTGAGACGGAGAGCTCCTGCATGGAGATCGAGGCCGCACAGAGAAAACTTCAGGAGATAGAAGACAGGTATGCGATGTATAACATTTGGGAGAAAAAAACTGAACAAAACACAACTTGTCATTTGTTCACAGCAGCTGTGTTATGGTGTGTATTGTGTCTTTAACCTCTGCATGATAGTTTTATCTTCCTTTGTAAAACGAGTTGATTCTATTGCCAGTTCACCAACCCATATTTGTGATTGGTCAGATGTTGCCAAGCCCTTTCATGTAAACATGCAGGGGAAACATTGGGTTGGCTTAGAGATTTAGCTTCATATGCTTGATTATCCTGATTGCGAATGATGGGTTAAGTGAAACCAGATAATGGAAACATAATCCTGGGTATGTTGTACATGCCCCGAAGCAGGTTTTGGTATGTAGAATAAGTAACCATAGTGATGTAACCCAGTAAAAAGTTCTGAAGTCTGAGTATTTGAGGTCAATCCTGAACGTACCTCTGTAAGCACAGGCCTCTGTTTATAATGTGTATACAATGTATATGTCAGGCGCACAGACCACCCTTCAGACTGTTTTGTATTTTCACTTATGTATTTACATAGTTCTTGACAATGCAAATACATAACATTTCAATTTATATCATTCAAAGTGGGTTTTTTCTTAAATCTGGCATTCAGTGTTGGTGAAGAGTTTGGGGGTTACATCACAAGAAAGAGTGACAACCCACAATGTACTATTGATGTATCACAGAATAACACTGGAGGACGATGAGGATGAAGATCTGGATGTAGAGCCAGCTCCGAGACGCCCGGTGCTGGTGATGTCTGACAGTTTGAAGAAGGGCTTGCAGCAGGGCATCAGTGACATCCTCCCCCACACAGTAGCCCAGTCTGTGTATGTTTATTTTGTTATTGGAACATTTAATGGTGATTTTTAAGTAATAAATAGAAATGGATATATCCTTTATTGTCCCTCATTGGGGAAATTCAGGTGTTCTAGCAGCAAAGCGACAGGCAGATGGAGCATGCAGATTCACACAAGTTAAGAATATAAAAAGCAAGAAATAATAGACTGTACAGGGAAATTTACAACATAAGGAAAAACAAAAAAATATGGGTAATGATGTGAGACGGACTCCAAATATTGTTTTCAACTGGCAAGAGTTTCTTGATTAAGAAGTCAGTGCAGTTGCACTCCTTTAGGGATGCTAATATTTGTGTCACCTTTGTCTTTCTCACACTTTAGGAGCCGTTCCTGTATGGAGCTGGTGCTATGGCGGCCACCAGAAGATCCCTTCAGTCAGAGACTTAAGGACTCATTACAAAAACAGCGCAAACAACAGACTGTGTGTCGGCAGACTCCAACTCCATGTCCATCTCCTAGTCCCCTCAACACCTCAAGTCCACCAGCAGACACACACTCTCCTCTGTACAGTTTCTCTGTGGCCCACAACTCTGGGGAGGAGGAGATGGAAATGTAATAGTGTTTCTCCATAAAGTGATGCCAAAGTGAAAGACTGGAGACTCGTAGCAAAGTAAAAAGATTTAAAAAGACGTGGAACAACTTCAGGCTGGTCAGTTTGTGTCTTTATAAGGATATTGTGAAGTTTTGAACAGTTTGTGAAGCGCATCATTTTCTTGGCAGTAATTTATGTTTTCTGACTTTAATCCCATTTGATCCCACTTGTAACATAATAACTGACATAATCTCCAAGGTCTGTCAACAAGTAGCCTTACATAATACTTTGCAGTATTGATGTTTCCCGTAAGAAGTGAAACGACTTTTACATTGCCAAAGCCTGGCCAGCACTACGCTGATGTGTTGTAAATATGATTATATTTCTTAAACATCAGCGTGGAGCATCACATTTGCTTGTGGCATGCCTTCCTGCTTGTAGTAATACTTCTGGCGGAGAGATCATCTCTATTGCTTAGCAAGTATGCCATTAGGGGAGCTTGGAGGAATTTATAAAGTCATGGAAATGCAGATTTTTATGGTTTGACTGTATTTTCATATGCACATGACCAGAACTTCAGCTAGCCATTGGGTGCTATAAACTTTATATTTGTTTTTTAATAAACGTACAGTTTTCATGTGTATATTCTGCCCAGTTTTCATTGGATGAAAGTGCTTGAATCAGGCAAGTTTGTGTGTGTGAACGTGGCTTGTAGTAAAATGCGCTATAATACTGTAAGTACCAATCCATTTACCATACATGCATACTGTAAATGGAGCTCTACCCAAATATTTAGATAGTTGTTTGTATTTGGTTTGACTCTTACAATAGTGATCATCATACTTTTCCCTTTCCAAATTCAGCCATATTTTCGAACCCTTCAGATTAATGGACAGCGAGTACAAGTAGACAGGCTCAAAAGCCTTTAATACATTACATTTTGCTTCAGCCTTGCAGAAACTGTAAATGTATTTTTAAGCATTTTCTAAGGACTTTGTTAAAGCCCTGCCAGCTTTGAGGTTATTTAATGTTCGGTAACTCACATGATCGTCAGTCTTCAGAGAAATGTCAGCTCCTGTCGTTTACAGCTCACTGCAAGCTATAAAAACCTTACTGCCTTAGCACAGAGGAATGTGATGACCACATCTCCAGTTGTTCCATATGTCACTGTGACCTGCTTGTCCTGCTATCTTAGAACAGTGAATGATTTATATTTGTTGCCATGGGACAACTTTAAATAAGACTGATTTGAAGAGCATTCTATCACTGGTGTGCAGTTGCTCACACAGTGTAAGGTTTTGTGTTGCTTTAACTCCCATCTGTGTCTGTACTCTGAGGGATCTGTGAATGAAACAATAATAGCAGTTAATATCAATATTTGGAAAACAATGAGTGCTTTTAATATTCCCATCAGACATGGGTAGCATGGCTCTATGCATGACTGATACTATTCTGAGATTCTTCTAAAGAAACATGCTATTTGTGTTAATGTTTTATCAGTTTATTTTATAATCTGTGGAAATGTGAGTGCAGAGAACCACTGTCAATAGCCTTAAACTGCTGTAAAGCTTTGTATTTTTTCATTGTGCATTTTTTTTGGTCAGACTAAATATGAATGAAGACATAATTTTGTGGGTTAGAAAATTAAGAAAAAATATTACAAAACCTTCACAAAAATATTTGACTTTAAATTACAAGTAGTACTTGGAGTATTGAAATTTATAACTACTGTAAACTTCATCAAGTGGAAACATTAAAAGTCACTTCACAATAACCAGATACTGAAGAATTTACTCACTGTTCCAAGATAGGATCCTGATAAATCGGGAGGAGGTGAGCTCCACCCGTAGGCCTGATTTTCAGCACGGAGCTGCTTCACTTTGCTCTGGAGGTAACGTATAAGCTTAAAGGAAGCCATGTCTGAGGAGCTGTGATGGGAGTTCAGAGCTTGGAGGGAGGAAGAGCTGAGAGATTTCTGGTATTCCTTAAAAGAAAAATGATACCAGGATTTTTCTTAATAGCATAAACAATGAGTAAGGACACAAACGTTTTGGGTTTCACACAGGAAGAGCAAACCATTTACCATTTCTTCCTCAGGTCTTTCAGGCTCCCTCCGCCTAACATCTTGTGGTCTTGGTGCCTTCCTAGAAAAAGCAAACCTGAATTTGGTTGGTTGTTTGGTAAATAACATAACTGCATGAACATCTGTTGTATATGTATAATGTTAGATCTATGGTCTAAGCATCGCATCACATTGAGTTGAGGTGAGATCATGCTCTTGTACAGCTGGTTAGTATAACATTGATTTACCAAGACACAAAATTACCTGCCCCTTAACAACTTTGTCTGGCACCTGTGGGATGACAAAAGTTAGCACAAAAACTGTATACATGTCACAGTATTGTTTGATTCAAGATCAGCAGCTTTGGGAAATTATTGCACCACAAAAATAAAAAATATGACTTGGCTGCATTCTGGGTTTAGTTTGGAGGATGCCATTTTTGTTTTGAGCACATTACCGTTCCAGTTCAGCCGTCAACTCTTCTTCAAACTTGCATGCCAGGCGAGCTGCGGTCTGTCCCTTCCACTCAGCCATGCTCCTCTGAACCTGCCTGAGTTCAGAGTCTTTGGCCTTCAACTGCTTGCGGAGACATACTGCCACTCCTCCTCCGCCTTGAACTCCTCCATCACTCATGTGAACCCATTTTAAGCTGCTCAACTCCTCAATGTGTTCCTGCAAAAATGTCACAGGGAGTTAAATTTCCTCTAATGCTATGTGTGTGTGTTTTGTCTAAGCGTGTGGGTTCAGACCTGAATGAGTCGCTCCTTTAAAAAATTCAAAGCTTGATCTCTCTCCAGCCTCAGCTGTTGCCTCTGGATGCTCAGTTCTTGCTCCTGAAAAATGGGAGATTTTTACTGAATATGTCCATATAAACATTTAGCGTGCTGTAAGCAAAGTTCAAATGATACCTTTTCTTTTCTCAGCTGCTCGTTGGTTTGTTTCTGTGAGTCTAGCTCTTGGTGCAGTTGGCTAATAAAAGCCTTCAGCTGCTCTCGTAGTGTTTTTAGGTTCGTAAAAGCCTCGGCTTCTGTGAAACTGCAAATGACAAAGATATGTGCATTACAAGCCAATTACAAACAAGCTATGAAGACTGGGCATAAAATTATACCTGGGAGGTAGTTTTCCAGCACTTTGTTTGGCTCCACTTTGCTCCACTAACAGGCTGAGATGCTGGCACTCTGCTGCTAGCTGCTCGGTCCAGTGTTGGTGTTGCTGCTCCATCTCAGCTGTGATTTGGATATGGCTGCTCTCCCTTTCTTCTAGCATCACCCGGAGCCTGTCTGCCTCTTTAACTGCCAGCTGGACATCCTTCTCGAGCTGCAGAACTGTCCTATGACTCTGCCATGATTACAGAGCACACCAGGTCAACTTTTCTAAGATGTCACATCACATCTAGAGTTTGAACATGACTGCTTTCTGTGGTTTTACTGCACCTGCGCCATCTGTAGCTCAGCCTGGCGCTCCTCTTTCAGTGACTTGCAAATTGCAGCCAACTGTGTACAGTTTTCCTTTTCCAGCTCCTGCAGTTTCTTAGAGATAAAAGCAAAATCATACAAACATGGAAAGAAAATGTATTTAGATTTATCTAAGTGGAAGATCCCTTACTGTTTTTAGTTCCATGACCTGATGTTGACGAGCTAATGCTTTATTCTTCTCTTTCTGCATTTCGCTCCTCAAACTTTCCAGGAGCTTTTCATTCTGCTCTTCCAGTATCCCACGCTGCACCTCCAGAGCTTCCATTTTTTCTGCCTCCCACTTCCTCCTCTCCTCCTTCACTGCTTTGTACACCTAAATGGGAAAAGAGAGCATTCTGTTCATACCATCAAATTATGTTAGAAAGGTTACATATGTTAGTCAAAGGATTATCAGTGTACCTTTTCCGATGCTTCTACATGCAACTCCTCTTCATGTTTCTTTACCTCTTCCTTCTGCTGTTGCAGAGATTTCTGTAGCTTAATTAATTCTTCTTCTTTTAGCTACAAAATTAAGAGAGGACCACCTCTTAGAAGTAACCCTACAAAGTATTTTACTAGTAGTATAATATGTAGTGCAATAACCTTAACGATGGCACGCCACCAAACATAAAATATATGCATTTATGGCACTACAGAATACCTGAGATAGTCTGTACTTTCAAAGGAATACTTTTTTCTTTTTAGCCTGAATATGAACTGAGGAGAAATCAGTAACCTGTAACAATAAACCTTTTGGGCTTGCTGTTAATAATATAAACATATTAGTAAAGTTACTTATAGAACAAGAAAAAAGGATTTGTAGCACTTACCATTATACTGTGGACGTGCTCTTCAATTTCCTTCAGGGCTTTGTGGTGCTGCATTCTCAAGTGCTGTTGCTCCACCTTCAGTCCATCTCGTTCTGCTTGTAAGGCACTGCATTGCTCCTGGAAATCTAGGAGCTGCAGCTCTTTGTGGGCTAACATTTTCTCCAGAGTTACCACCCTGATCTTATGCTCTCCCACCTCACCCTGCAGCCCACTCACTCGAGCCTCCAGTGCCTAACAGGAAAAGAGACAGCTACAGTACTACACACACACACACACACACACAGTAGATTTATGGAAAAAAAAAATGCTACCTCAATCTGCCCCTTTTTCTGCATCTGTTTTTCTTCCAAACAAGCACATCTGTTTCTCAGTGACGTCTCTACTTCTGTGGCCCTTTGGAGCTCTTCACAAGTCTCTTCCAATTTCTGCTCCAAAAGGAAAATATATTCAGAGACATTTTAAAACAGACACTAAATCTGCCTTTACTCAAACAAAAATGGATTCTGTCTGTTAAATTTCATTCAGTACCCTCACTGAAATTCAGATCACAATGATAAAGAAGCCCAAAATAAAATTGTAAAATGATAAATCCATAACTTTATGATTAAAGTTTAGATTCTCCATTTGGATTGTTGAAGATCATAAATATTTCTGTTCGTAAAGTGAATGCAGACTATAATTAGAAACAGAAAGCACAATTTAATGTAATTTCATGTTTACATGTATAAAAAATGAGCCCCATTAAACCAAAAAATATTTTTTAGTTATAACTTTGTATTTTTGGAGTTACTACATAGTCTATAAACAGGCTATGATACCTCTTGCATGGACTCCAGCTTTTCTCTGGCACGTCGCTGCTCAGCAAACAGTTCTGTTTTGGCGTTATCCAGCTGTCTTTTCATTTCTTCCTGCTCCAGCACCGACATTATGACATTGTTCTGTTTATTGAACAATAAAAAGAGAAAGTGATGACATAAGAACAAAATTAAACCAAGGACTGAACCACTAACTACAGGAGTAGGTTTGTTTTTTTACTGCTTTGAAGCAGGATCCATCCTTTGGAGTCTGTCTACACAGACGCTGAACTGTAAAATCTTCCTGGGTGTCTCTGTGCTGGAGAAGACATGATTCTTTCTGCCTGAGCATCTTCTGCAGCTGTCGGCTACCATGGCTGCAGCAAAATGATGTTTTATCAATAAGGAAAACTCTCCTTTATGCAGACAAATATTATTTTGATGTTGGCCGTGTTAATGCATATGGCTCTGAATGAGACAGTTAGTAGGAGGAGATTTTATACCCAACAGACTTCCTCTCTGCTCTGCTGTCTCTCTGAACAGACTGCAAAGTCCTCTTCTCCTCCTCCATCTGTGCCGTCTCTGTAGTCAGTTGCTCTAACTCCTGCAAGGCATGCTGCAGCACGAACCATTACTTGTACATGTTAGTGAGTCTTCAGCAAACATTCTCCTGAAAAACATTTGAAAATGCTGGACTTTACCTTCCTTTTCTGTCTAAGTTCAGAGAGGCAGACCTCAACATCTTTTATCTGAGCCCTCTTCAACCACAGCGTCTCCTCCTCTTCCTCACATTTCTAAACCACACACAAACAAGCTAAGCAGCACCATCTCATACATATGCATGCAGGTGAATTTATACAACTGACACAGGATAGAATAAATTTCCCCCGGAGGTTTAGCTTACTTGTCGGAGGTCGGAGAGTTGGCCAGTCATCTTGACCCATTCAGACTGCATCTTGTCCAGTGTCCTCTCAGGCCTGGACTTGTTGCTCCAGCAGCTCATTTCTTCATCTGTGTCACTAAAATAACTCACAGGTCTGAATACACATGAGAGCAGAATTATATATATTGGAATTATATAACTTAATTTGTTAAAGTAAGTGTTTCTTCCTATTCTAATTCTTAATCTATGTTTAAGGTCAGATGACATTCTGGTCTACTGTAGCTTTTAAGTTTCTTCTTTCCAGTGTTTTACATAGATTTCTTTGCACTGGTTTACTCTGACTGATATTTGGAAAGCAGTGTTAAGGTGATTAAAGATTTAGAGTGCTTGACGGGCATTTTTTGGCATTTTTCTGTGTGCATAGAAAATATATTGGCAGAATTTTGCATGTTAGAGATACTGTTGGGTGTTTGTCCCAATGGGTAGAGCTCTAAACCCAAACTTCCCCACCATACGCCCAACTATCCCACAGCACAATGGGCAGAATGACACTACCAAATATTTAAAGGCAGATTTTAATTGGATTTTGGAAGTTATTAAAATTTTCTCTTTATTATATTAAGAGCTTTCAGAGCTTGTCCTCTTAGTGCATTATCTGCCATATTTCCTGATGCTATTGTGTATGTACTAACATAGGTGCAGCTCATACTTTGATTTATTTTACCTATATGCTGTTCTCCTGTTACGTTGAGAGTTACAAACAGGTCCATATGGGGATCTCTGTACTTTGGGAATAAAGAGAAGAAAATTATTTTGACACTTTATTACTTTGTGTATTTTATAGTAATAAAACAGTAGTAGTCAGCTCTTACCTGATGTAGACCGAGATTCACTTTCTTCTTGTGTTGTTCTGTCGGTCTGGTTGCTACACTGGCCATTATTTTCTGTGACAGACCGAATGAGAGAGTGCCATCCTAACAAGAGTGGATACTTTTTGTAGATATTATCCTTCATATTTAAAGATTTTGTAATTATCATTCATTACCCTTTATATTTTTCAGTTTCACTTTTCAAACTCTGATATTTTGTGTCTAAACATATTTATAAACTAGTTCACTTCCATATCTTCTGTTTCTTACCGGGCCACTTGTGAATGTGCTGCCTGACTTGCTCCGTGCAGACTGTATCAAGGTCGCTGTCAATGGACACCGTGTCAAAGCTCAGCACAGGTACTCCTGGAAAAGAACCAAGCAGCCCACAATCACTATTTCAAATAAACAGAATCCCAAAAGAATTGGTGTGGTAGGCTGTGCTTGTAAATGCAAGTGTAATGCAGTGTAATGTGTGTGGTACCTGCCAAGCATCTGGTCTTAGGAGAACAGCTGCTGTTGACATTTTCAGGGTCTTTTAAAAACTCTGTCCTGTGGAAGCCTGAAATGAAAAGGGAAGAAAACAGACTTATATATAAAAAAAAATAAATAAAAAAAACCCTACAGCTGACAGTACACGTAAGGCGTAAAGGTGTCCTGTATTACATCTATCAATGGTTATAAAACTTTTTCATTCATACTTCTATTTGAAAAGTTAGCAATCCAGCCAAGCTAACATCAGAGGCCTCTACTAGCACTTATGTTCATTCATTCGTGAAACTTTAAATCCATTCAACATTATTCTCCATGGTCGCACATGACTTCATGCAGTGACTCCCTGAAGCCATTGAGTTCCCTGCCCCCGTTTTAGGAACCACTGCATTAGGTTATGTGCATGCTGAGTTGAAAGTTTGGCCTCAAGTCCAAAAGCTCAAATCCAGAGTTCTGGTAAATTAGTGTAGGGAGAGCATGTGATATATTTAATGCTTTGGGTATGAATTATAACCATTCATAGATGTAAGCCCATTTTTGACTTACTACTTCAGACGAGAAGTAATAACACTCCTCAACCTAGTATGGTATTCAGGCGCCATTTTTGTTTTGCCAAAATGATTTTCACACAGTCAAACATCTGTAGAGAACGTGCCTTCGATCACATGTTGAACACACAGATGGACAGACATATGGCCAAAGAACTGGAAGACAGATGGATCATTTTTCTGTCTATCCTCACCCTTTTGGCTAAGCAAAGTTAAAACATGCCTGAAAGCTTATCTTTCAAAGATTCTATAGATACAGACTTGTACCACTGCTGTCATCCTCAGGCTGTGGTAATCTGCATGTCTCTAAAGCTCCTGCTTTCACACCAGCATGTGATATACTTGCTCCAGCGCTATGAGAAACACAGCTCTTCTTGTTTGGACGTGGTTGGTTTGTCAGGGAATGCTGAGGAGTGAGTGTGTCATCGCTGCTTTCCCCAGTCATTTCTGAACCTCTTCTTTCAACATCATAAACATGTCGTTCATGTTGTTTACTTTGGTAAGCGCCGCTGTCAGAGATGTTTGTACTCCCAGTCACTTCTGCTTTATCCGACATTTGCATACTGACATCTATAAAAGTCAGTTCTACCATCTCCTCTCTGAAGCGTGTAGCAAAGTCCTCGGTGCAGATACTGTCTGAAGGAGGGCCAATTTCTTCGGCCAGCCCTCCTTCCTTGCAGGTGCCTCCAAGTAGCCTCTCCAGCCTCCAGATGACCTGCTCTCTACAAGACTCGATTTCCTCTTTGTCCCTCTTGTCTAACCTCTTTTCAGTTTTGTCACCAGTTACAGGATCTTTCGAGCAGCCCTCTGTGTTTTCTGAGGTAGAGCAGAGGAGAAGTGGTGTAAGGAAAAGTCCACTCTATTAACATTATGGTGATCAACATAGACCACACGGTCCTGTGCAAGAGTGTTAAGCCACCTCTAATTTCTTCATATTTTGCTTCAGTGATTTACTGAAAACATACATACAGTATTTAAGGCAGAAGGTATGAAGAACTATTGCTCAATACCATTTTAAAACAATTCCAAGAAAGTCTGGAAGTATAATCAAAAGAAATGAGTGTTGGATTGAGATTTTTTGCACAATACTTTACATATATATCGTTTAATTATAGGCCACCTATGAAGACAACACACAGGGGCATGACCAACTCTCATATTAAGCATATTAAGCATGTATACATTTAGCAAGATAATTTCCAAGAAAGTTGGGTTGTTGTGTATTTCAATTTTAAACTTAGTTACAACTTTTTTGGAAATCAGGGTTGCATTTCTTTCACTTGTGCAGAAAGAAAAATCATGTCACCACTAGTACTAATCATTTTCACTGTCGTAAGATATTTACCTCAGACTATAAATAAGGCCTTTTCAGTTAAAAACATTGTTAATTTAAAACTTTTCCTGTGAATATCCCTAATATTAAAATATTACCATATCTTTGCTGCATTGCTGGGGCGCTCATCAAATCTAGACCAGACATGGGGGTACCATTTTGTTCACTTGTACTTCCCAGGCCTGTATCTTTGCCCAGAGACTGACTCCAACCAAGAGAAGCTAGAAAAATACCACACACAAAAAAAGAGATTACATAATATTACATGGAAAACAAAAATCTTTAAATCTAGTATAGAGCTCTTATTGTGATATAAATTACCTGCATTGCTGCAATTAAGCTCACATTTCTGGGGCAGGACCTGGATAAATTAATCATACTTGCTTATGTTATTATCATTTTTATTATTATTTTAAAATTGCCTACATGTGCAGAGAGACAAACATACAGAGCAAAGTGACAATCACAGAGTCACAAACCTGCAACTGCTCAAGCTGAGCATCCATTGCATCCAGGAGGCGATCGCAGTGGTCAAATCCAAACACACTGCTATTGTCGTTAAGATCTATGAGGGCAGAGAAAAGGGGGTATATGAATGGCTGCACACATAGTGAGGAATACATCAGAATGTTTTTAAACCTTCAGACCAGTGTAAAGAAGTTTCTGGGGATGTTCTGCATGTCTGTCTGCTCCGTTATTGTTCCTCTCAGCCATGTCCTGCACGTGAAGACAAAAGTGCAGGCATTGAGAGACAACATAGGAAACTACACCCCCTGTATGGCCCAGCAGTCAGGGCTGGCAGTACGGTGATGGGGGGCGGGGGGTATGTTGCCCAGTTGTCCAGGAAACCAAGACCACTTAGCAAGCCAAACTGACTTGAGTTGACGATAAATCCCCGGATCTCCCCGTCTGAAAATCAAGTCCAAGAGCTGTGAAAGTTACTTACAAATATCTGGAGTATTAAAGTGTCACATCTAGCTGTGACTTGTGGGACTATTTTTTCAGCCGCAGCCAAGACTCAATCGAGCCTTTGCTATAAGCAGAGTGATATTTTCATAGTGCGAATGAGCCCACAAATCAGATGTATTGAACACAAAAGCGTCTGGCCAATCTGTCTGAAGCTCCCTGGTTAAACGTTCATGTTTCTGAGTTATCAAATGAAAACAAAAAAAACATCACACTGACCGCGACAAACACTCAGAACTAACTTACTTTAAGAAGACGGGAGTTTTCAGTCGATGCCGAACATGTCTCAGCGGTTCTGACTGGCACAGCTGTTGCCGCTGCCGGGAGAGTTGATTGACGGGAAATTGAGGCTGCCATGGAAACGGTCAAACAGCTCGAGATACAGCAAGCTAACATCCCTGAGGACCCGCGCGAGCTACGGCAGTAAACGCGGTAAACGAAGTTATTATAGTTAACAAAAACTAAATAAAAACTAGATATTAAAAATAGTTCACTCGCATAAAAAAATATTTTCTGAATTTGAAAAACAAATACAGAGGTAGTATGTTTAGTTCTGGTAAAAATAAAATTCTTGGTTAAAAATAAATTGATAGACATCAATTGATGTCCTAGACTTGAGTCTACCGTTTTCATTTTTTTTAAGAAATCTGATACCAGATTTCCCAAGTCTTGCCTTTGACATATAACGATAATAGTTAATAGAGTTAATAAAGATTAACAATGAAACTAATAAAAACTAAACAAGTAAGAAAATCAACTCTAGAAACTAACAAACTAAACGGAATTAAAAACAGAAAGTCAAAATTATACTTATTCCATAAGTATCTGAACAAAGACAATTACTTAAATATCTAAATACTAATATTTCTTGTAGTTTTACCTCTGTAAACCACTGCAGTGGTTTTAAAATCAATCAGTGTCTTGTTTTGTTTTTTCAAAAGTTTTGCATGAACTGTTTAGGAATTACAGACAATTTTGTGCACTGTCCCACCTTTT